ATAAACTGGAATATGCTTGCAGACCACAAGGTGAACAGACAGGGAAAACACGAAACAGAACTTCCCCTGGCAAGCAGGCCCAGACCCCCTCAGTCAATAGTCCGAACCTGCGAGGGGGGGGGTGGCGAGAGCCCACTGTTCAGACGTCACCAACCAGCAGCCACAAGGGGGTGGGGCATTTCCCCATGAGCTGATTCGCTACACACTGACTCATAAAACACAAATAAATAATTCAAATATCTCCTTACTATTTTCCCCAACATAGTCATGGTATTTTTTGTGGCAAGCTTTAGCCTATTTAGCGCTCACATCACGTTGCTGTGCGTCATGGTCACGAAAACTCATCATTTGCATGTGTTTTTAAGCATTGTGGTTTAAAAACAAGTGATTTGAGCCATTGAAACGCAAATAACAGCACTATATGCGCCTGTTTCTGAGCATGATTTCTGCAATTGGGTCGGATCGAAGTCGGGTCATATTCACACCTTAAACGAACCGTACCATAGTTCGTTTGGAAGCTGACCAAGACCATGAGGATGTATTCACACCTGTTTTGTTTAGTTCGATTGAATCAAACTCAAGTTTGTTTCCCTGAACGTAAAGAGTTTTACACGGTCAATCCGCTTTCCAGTTCTTGATACGGTTGTTTTCGCTTGTACAGGCTTGCAACTTGGCTTTTGGCTGTATTTGGGCAAAACAACAGTGCCAAAAGTGTAAGCACGGAAAAATGGAAGTCAGAAGAATACAGATCATATTTATTTTGCCTTAGCATGAAGTTGCAGTTTCCCAATACATGAATTACACTTACAAAAAAAAACAGTAAAAGGCTCCAAATCTTCTTTTCTTACACTTGAAACGTGATTTACACTTTTACAAATATTTTCTTGCGAATGCTAAATTAATTTAAGCTTGCTATCTTATGTAGAATATGTACACTTTCACAAATCTTACCCTGCACATGCAAATCTTTTAGGCATCATTTTATCTCCATATATTTTGACCTACTTAATTGACATGTTCTTTCAAACTGAAAACATTTAGTTGAACCAAAGCATAACTGTTTTAAGTCAGTTTAACACAATGCAACTGTGTTTGAACGAGAAATCGAATACAATGGTGTTAAATTAAAATGAATTGTTTAAATAAAGTGAACAGTATCATAAAATCATTTTTCTTTTGAGTATTCTTCAGATTATAAAAAGGTAAGAAAGAGATTGTCCTTATAAGAACCTTTGACTGAATGGTCCTTTGTGGACCAAAAATTGTTATTCTATGGCATCACTGTGAAGAACCTTTTAAGTACCTTTATTTTTAAGAGTGTACTTGCTTATTTCCTTCCTTCCTTATTTACTTACTTACTCACTTACTTACTTACTCGCTCTTATAATT